AAGATTTATTTACTTTATTGCAGTCATATATGCAGGAGTGACAGGAAGATCTTTCATCCGATGATTCACTCCCCAAGCAGCCGCAATGACCGTAGCTAAGCTGACTGGAATCCAAGAGCTAGGAACCTCTTCTGGGTCTCCCACGTGGGTGCAGGGTCCCAAGGCTTTGGGCCATCCTCAACTGCTTTCCTAGGCCACAAGCAGGGAGCTGGATGGAAAGTGGGGCTGCTGGGATTAGGATCGGCACCCATTTAGGATCCTGATGCTTGCAAGATGTGGACTTGCAAGCTGCTAGGCCACCGCACCGGGCCCCAGATTTTATTTGTTAAGATGCAGTGCTTGTTGTTTTCTTTTTTTTTTTTTTTCCATATTTCTTGAAATGGCTTTCTTCAATCTGTTGGCACTGGAACCCACACTCAAACTTAAGCCAAATGAAATGCTGTATTGAAACCCACATAAAAGACAGGAGAAATAATAATATAGGCGGTGAGGTTGTAGGAGGTGATTTTTACTTTAATGGGCCTCCCATAACCTTCGCTAAGGACAGACTGCCACTTGTATGGATCCCTGAAACTCTGAGAACGTGGTGTAAAAACCATGTTTTAAAAAGGGAGTACCTGTAGCTTAGAGTTCCAGAAGTCTGTTTGATCTCTTGATGCCCTGGGCTGAAGGGCTTGGCCCCGAGCCGCAGCCTTCACCGTGGCACAGCTTCTCTCTGCGGAGTGGCCGTGGGTGAAGGAGCACGGCTGCCTTCCAGTGCAAAGCAAAACCAAAACTGTTGCGAGTCATACTGTGAGCACAGCTAAGGATGGAAAATAGACCCTGTTGAAAAATCTAACTGTCCCTTATGTCTCAACCAGAATGACATGTCAGGTCCCAGGCCAGCATGAATGTATGCACTTAACACTGCTCGAGTGACAGCTAGTTCAAATGCATCACAGATGCCGCATCAGCCAAGACGACATCGACTGTCATGTTTAGGTGAGCAGTTGCTCAAATCCGTGTTAGTCTCCAGCACTTCCCTGTGACAGGTGAATTCCCAGGAGAAATTCAAACCCGTTTATCGTGCTGACCTGATGTATCCGATAAGAGTCAAACTGAAAGTGAGTTTACCGGAGTCCTCTAGCATGGGAAATGAGTCAGCAAGCCAAAGCCAACTGCTAGAAGGAAACATTTGAATCTTAGTTTTGGGCACTCGGTGGGAGGGTGGCGTGGCCTGATACTCCTGCCGCCAGTTCTTATGACCAGCACTGTGTCTTTGGATTCCTTTTTCCTCTTTTATTGGAGAGTGGGGGGAGCTTTTCTCACCTATTTTGTGAGGAGCGGGGTGAGGATATTTTGGATGACCAAGATCTTCAGCAGAGAGGACTTACAGAAATGAGGACAGAGCTTTCCTAGAGCTGTAGGAGAGGGCACCAGTTTGCGGCTACCAAAACAAAACCTGGGTCTGATGCTGTAGCCTAGTGGCTAGATCCTCACGTTGCTTGTGCCAGGATCCCATAAAGGGCACCATTTTGTGTCCCAGCAGTCCTGCTTCCCACCCAGCTTCCTACTTGTGGCTTGGGAAAGTAGTGGAGGATGGCCCAAGTTCTTGGGACCCTGCACTTGCATGGGAGACCTGGAAGAGGCTCTTAGCTCCTGGCTCCTGACTGCAGACTGGTTCAGCTCCAGCCTTTGCAGCCACTTGTGAGCCACTTGTGGTTAGTAAACCAATAGAGGGAATATCTGTCTCTCTGTAAATCTTTCTAATAAAAATAAATAAAATCTTAAAAAGCAAAACAAAACAAAACAAAAAAGCACCTTGCATTCCCTAGCTCTCCTAGTCCAGGGTTGCTCTGAAGAGAAGGGATGCCTCCCCTTGCCAGCTGATGTGTGCCAGCTCTCCCTCAAGAGGGAAGGTGGAGTCGGAGAGAATGTGCCGCTGAAGCAGTCCAGGGCATGGGCTGTGGTTATTGATGAAGGATAGGGTGTCTTGCTCTCCCACCACATTATTGGCTTCCAGAATCCAGAGCCATGAAAGATGTGGATGTAGAACAAAGCAGGGACCCAGGCTCTGGCGCCTGGTGGACTTGGGTTCACACCCAGCACCACTCACCCCCATGTGACCTTCACCCAGCAACTCAAGTTCTAGGCTAGCTGCGGCACCGCTTCCTCTGTCTCCCAGACCAGCTATTGTCTCTCTGTGTCCTTAATTGAGGGTTTACTGCTTTCCCATGAGAAGTCTTATTTTTTGTTGCATCAGGAAACTTTGTTAGAAAACAGATCTTGCTTGGGATTTCTTGGTGCTCTTTTTGTAAAGTGGGGATTATAATGTCTGGCTGAGTTGTTGAGGATTACTGAGATAATGTTGAAACAAAGAGCCCATCACTTAACAAACCTGAATTTTCTTCTGTTATGGGATTACTCTCTGTTGAGGCCCTAAATCTACTAGACAGTTCTCACTTCTGCCTCTGTTGCATTGTTTTGTTACCACAATAATCTGGGAGTGAATGAGGAAGTCTTAGATCTTCCCTAGGAACAAGAGAGGTGAGGGCAGGGTCCTAGATACCATTTTTCAGAAAGATTTCATAAGAAAATAAAAGATGAATTTGACCTTTTAAATAGACTTCCTTGTTTTGGCAGGAAGAAATGGAGAGTTCTAGAACTCTATATGTGTCTATATTCACATACAACATGTCATGTAAGCCTTATATCCAAGGGGAGAAGCCAGTGTTGTGAACCATCTTCTTTTATGTGTGAGGTGAAGTGCTTGGATTTATGTGATGTGCCCAGGCCACACTGCAGCTGAGTTGGATTGAACACAAGGTCTCCCCACCCATCTCTAAAGATAGCTCTTAGCTGCCACTCTAGTGGGCTGGCATGACCTGGCTAAGGGTTCTGTTAGGATCCCCAGGGTTCCAGCTTGGTGTAGAGTCTTTGGCTCTGGTGGCTGATCTTCTGGCAGGGGGAGGTAGGTGGATTGCAGGGTGGAGGCACATGGAGGAATGTCTATCCCAGAATAGTCGGCAGGAAAGCGGTGGATGCAGTTCTTTGCTGGACCGGGAGTCATCAGCAAGTGCACTCAGTCCCCTGGAAGATCCTGAAGCGCTGCCGTGCCCCTGCCGTGGAGCCTGCTGGGCTGGCCCTGGGTGATAACTAACCAAGGGCAGCCCTTTCCAGCTCAGTCCCCCTCGGTCACGGACGGGCCCTGATTCAGCGGATCATGTGTATCTGGGCCTCAGAGTGCTGAGGCAGGCAGATCGTGTTTGGTTCTCCTCTTCATCCCTCATGACAAGTGCCACAGAGTGTTTCCTAGAATCTGGCTGACTGTCCACTCCCTGGGGAGGCTCAGAACTTTTCCAGAGTATTGGGGGAAATGTAGCTCATGGCCACAACAGGGAATAGGGAGGGCTGGCAGGAGGACCCCAGACAGAGTTGTTATTATTTTACCCAGGGTATAACTGTAGCAAGTGTCAGGGCAGCCTCCAGACACCAGATGGGCAGTGGGAAAGCAGTACTTCCCAGGAGGAAGCTGAAGTTCCTGGACCACCACTGGTGGCTTTTCTTGGACAAGGGTCTTCCACCATGAATGTAGGTAGGGGGCAGTGCTTGCTGAGAGCCTGGACAGGGTGTGTGTCCTAAGCTCTCAGCAACTTGGGTGCTAAGAACTTAGACCCCCTCAACCCAATGACGTATGATGTGTCCATTGTAGAGGTGAGCCTCATCCATGAAGTGGCTGGGCTTCTGATGTAAATGTGGGTCCCCAAGCCAGTCTCCATATGTTCTAGCACCTGACTGCTGTTTGGTTGAACATCTCCCATAGGTGAAGTCTACAGCCAGCTGTGCATGGGTGGTCCTGGGGAACTGGGACAATGTTGCTTTTTCTCAGGCAGGAACAGGTGCTGTGGGAACCTGGGCACAGAATAACCCTTGTAGGTTCATTTAGTCAGGGCATGTCCCAGACCCTGTAATCCACCAGGCTTCACTGCAGCAGCGGGAAGTTACAGGATGTCACTCCACACACCGAAGAACTCCTCTGGGAATGATCTCAAATCCTTAGAGCAGGTTGGAGGCAGGGCAGCTGGAGACTGGGGCAGCGACAGGAACTGGTTGAGTAGATGCAGGGAGGGTGAACCCACCTCCTCCTGCAGCCGTGGCCTGCCTGCTACCCCCACCACGGCTATGGCGCTGCGCCTCTTCAGCACTTTCATTCTATGCTGTACAATGGGGTGCTTTCCTGCAGCCACCGTGTCATTGTCCACCCTCTGGATGTTTCTTGTCCCTGCTGTTTGTGTCTGAGGTGGGAAGGAACCCTATACTCCTGGGGATTCCTGGAGATCGGGCCCATTTATGTCTGTAGGATTCTTATGGAGTCTTTGGCCCTGCCCCCCATCTCCCCGCAGCTCTACGGTTTGCAGGAGTGCAATATCCCAGTGCCTCTTGTCTTTGTACGCTCTCAGGTCAACATCCTTTCTCATTCACTCATGTTCTCACATGCCTGGGACCCTCTGAGGGACACTTACTTGGCTCCTTAATTTGTAGCTGGCTGGACCCTATTTCACTCCATCACTATCATCGTCTTGGCACACAAGCATTCCAAAGCAAACTTCTCAGCAGGCAGTCTGTCAGAAACCCTGGAGCCCACAGGCCTACAATAGCATGTTGGGTATTCGAGGAGGAAGAGGGGCAAAAGAGAGGCATGGACCCTTGACTCGGGGCTTGCAGGGCGCCAGGAGCTCAAGGAGGACTTTACTGAACCCAATTAGGGAGGACTCTCATGAGGGGTGAGTGTCTCACCATTGGCTGTGAAACCAGATCCTTGTACATGTAGATTTCTAAAAGTGCTCCCCATGCAGGGGATCCTACAGCACATCTGTGTATGTTGAGGACAAATGACAACTGTTGACTGCCCTGTCTCCCACAGATGGACCAGTTTCTTAGAGCTCAGATTTTCAAGTCTTGACCTTGTTGGCTTTTCCCGAACCAACAATGACACCTCCCCTCACCCCCTTTGTCTGCAGAACACGGAGAATTCCTGGCCCTGGACCTCGGGGGCACCAACTTCCGGGTGCTCTGGGTGAGAGTGACTGACAATGGGCTCCAGAAGGTGGAGATGGAGAACCAGATCTATGCCATCCCGGAGGACCTCATGCGCGGCAGTGGAACCCAGGTACAGCCTTTCTCTTGGAGTGGCCATCACTCTGTCTTCCCAAGATGTGTCTTGTGTGCCTTCTTAGCTGCCCTAGGTCCATGGGTAGGCACTTGGTGGGAACGTAGCTGTTGGCTGGAGTTCTGCCTTAGTCTTGCTGTGTTTTCACACCCAGTGTGTACTTGATAATAAAAGCAGTGAATGCCAGAAAATCACACAATCCAAGGAGCGCATGTCTAGCATTGTCACATCTTGGGTCTCTGGGCTTGGGGAGAAGTTGAGCGCTCTGAATCCTGGTCTGCTGTCCCCTTCTGCCACTCTAAGCCACTCCTGAGAAAGGAATTTCTGGCTGGGAGGAGAGATGTGAGGAGGCTATTTTTAGAGCATTTATTTGTCTTGCGGGGGGGGGGGGGGTACCCCTGAGAGTGAACCTGCTTCCTTTGCTGCAGTGCTGGAGTTGGGGAAGGAGGTGAGTCCCCGGGCCTGCGGGTATATTAAAGCCCTACTAAGCTTGTCACAGGGCTCCAGGGCAATGTTAGAAAGGTCACAAAGGGGGGGGGCCCTGCTTCCCTTGCACCTGCCCGATGCTGTGACAATGAGGAAGTTGTTCCTTGTGATTCTGGGAAAGCAGCAGATGCCAAAGAGCCAGTTTACTGATCTGTAAGGAGGGATGATAGCACCTGGATTGTGGTGGGGCTTAGACAAGATGATGTGGGTTGAGTATAAACTGGGGCTCTTGTTGCTTTCCCTTAGGGCTTTCATCCGTTCCTCTGTGGCTGGCAATTGTACTGTTGCCTCATCACAGGGGAAGTGGTCACCTTCTCCTCATTGCCTCTATCTTTTATCCAGATTACAAACATTTGAGAACCAAGTAAGCAAGACTAAATGACAGAACGTTTCAAGTGTGCTCTGTGCTTCTCAAAGGCTAGCAATATGATGCTGATGTGTTAAGTGAATCTAAGCTCTATGGAAATAACACGCTCCAAACATAATTCCAAGGCTTGTTGTTCACACCTCAGCAGCGTTGAGGTTCCTCACAGCCCTTGTGGTTTCGGGGCTTCTGTAGGCAGTGAGGTGTGTTTGCCAAGCCAGAGAGTGCATCTTTCAGACACTCAAGATCTGAGTGAAGTTTGCCATGGAAAAATTACGTTTATATCTCCCGAAACGCTTACTTAGATAGTATAAAGACGGGTATTTTGGGGGGGAGGGAATATATACATATATATATATATATTTGAAAGGCAGTCTCAGGGTTTAAGCCTGCCAGCAGGCCCCGAGGTCACTGAGGGGGAGGAGCTGGTGTTCTTCAACCAAAGAACCACTGGAGACAAGCTGGTGAGGAATGTCCACTTTATTAAGCACAAGTTAAGGGGTTGAAGGCAGGAAGGTTTCTTCCAGCAGTCCCCGGCTGCCCAATAATGATGTATTCCCCCTGCCCAGGCACGTTCCAGTCATGTCAGAGGTCACTTCAGGTTCCAGGTGCAGGCCTGGAAGCTGTGCCTCAGGTCATGGACAAGTAAGTGATGAGCCACGCATACCAGGGAGTGGTCAGGGCTCAGGTTTGATTGCCTACAAGGCAGCTAAGAGGCCTGGCACAGTGGCTCAGTTGGCTAATCCTCCCTGTGCAAGTGCCAAGATCCTAAATGGGTGTCGGTTCACGTCCCAGCTGCTCCACTTCCCATCCAGCTCCCTGCTTATGGCCTAGGAAAGCAGCAGAGGATGGCCCAAGGCCTTGGGACCCTGCAACTGCATGGGAGACCTGGAAGCAGCTCCTGGCTTTGGATCAGCTTAGCTCCAGCCACATTTTCCACTTACGGGAGTGAGCCAGTGGAGGGACACTCTATCTCTCCGTTTCTTCTTTCTGTAAATCTGCCCTTCTAATGAAAATAAATAAATCTTAAAAAACAAAGGTAGACAACAAAGAAAAAGAGATCTTGTGTTTCATTTTCCAAGTGGCCCCAACAGTCATGGCTGGACTAGCCCAAAACCAGGAGCCTAGTCCTCCATCCAGGTCTCTCATGTGGGGATAGGGGCTCCAACGCTTGGATCATCTTATGCTGCCTTTCACAGATTGGGATTGGAACAGGAGCTGCCGGCACTTAAACCAGCACTCTGATATAGGATGCTGACGTTGCAAGTGGCAGCTTAGTCCACTGTATCATGACACTGCTCTAAGAACACAAGGACAAGATATTTTAGTCTAATTAAAACACAAGCACCTGAAACCACATGGAAGAAGCAATAAAACCATTGGGATAAGAGAACGATCTGAATAAATGAGGGGAATGCTCAATAAAAGGAAACCAGGAGCCCATTTACCCTGAGCAAGAGAAAGAATACTGTAAATCTAAAAACACTGGGGAAAAGCATGGATAAAAGGCTATTTCAGGTGATATGGTTACTGTTATTGTCTTACTCTTTTGGGGTATTAGGTGTTGTAAGTGTCTTAATTAAAAAGAAACAAAAAATAGGGCCTGGCACCGTGGCCTAGCAGCTAAAGTCCTCACCTAGAATGTGCTGGGATCCCATATGGGTGCTGGTTCTAATCCGGGCAGCTCCACTTCCCATCCAGTTCCTTGCTTGTGGCCTGGGAAAGCAGTGGAGGACGGCCCAAAGCCTTGGGTTCCTGCACCCGTGTAGGAGACCTGGAGGAAGTTGCTGGCTCCTGGCTTCGGATCAGCTCAGCATTGGCCATTGCCCTCACTTGGGGAGTGAATCATCGGACTGAAGATCTTCCTCTCTGTTTCTCCTCTCTGTATATCTGACTTTGCAATAAAAATAAATTTTAAAAATAGATAAACAAATTAAAATTTTAAAATGGAATTCAAACAAAGATGAAATCGGCAACCCCTGCAAGTTGGCAGAGGTTTGTGAGGACCCAGGGGTCCCTGGGGGGCAACTGTCTCCCTGGGCTGTCACTTCCGCCAGAGAGCAGGGATGGAAAACCTGGCTGGAGGCCACTTGGAGTTTTTAGAGTGAGCAGATGCTCACACCAATAAGGAAAGGAAACCTGGCTGAGTGTATAAATGATGCCCTTTGAGCCTTTTTATGGCCGGAAGGTGTTGTTAGCTTTTCCTTCTTGTATCTCATGCTTATGTTCTCAGTAAATAGAATAGGGGAATCTTCCAGTACAAGGAAGCTGATGGTCTCTTTTGACCAACTTACACATATAGGTTGCTTGCTTGCTTGCTTGCTTTCTTTCTTTCTTTCTTTCTTTCTTTCTTTCTTCCTTTCTTCCTTTCTTATTCATTTATTTGAAAGACAAAGTTACAGAGATAGAGGCGAGACTGAGAAGGATTTTCTGTTGATTCACTCCCCATATGGCTACAACTGTCAGTGCTAAGCTGGTCTGAAGCCAGGAACTTTTACTGAGTCTCTCATGTGGGTGCAGTGGGTCATCCTCCATTGCTTTCCCAGGGCACAAGCAGGGAGCTGGATGGTAAGTGGAACAGCCAAGAATCAAACTGATTCCCACATGGGATACTGGCATCACAGGTGGAAATAGCATGCTATGCCAAGGCACCGGCTCTAATGATAGATTCTTTGAGCCAAACTTTGGCCAACAAACCTTCATACAATAATAGGATTTTTTCTGGGGCTGCTTTGGGCAACACAGCAGCCACTGTCCACCTGTGGCATGGAACACCAATAATGTGGCTAGAGGAGCTAAGGGCTTATATTTTTTTATCTAAAAATTCAGGTTGATTGGAATAGCCATGGATGGCCAGTGGCTACCATATGGGGCAGGGTAGCATTTAATCTCCATTGCTTTTCTTTCTGGGCCTCCCCAGGCTGGGAGTATGATTAGAAAGGTGGTAGTTGTCAGTATGCACATGGGAAGCTTGTTGCTTTCCCCTTTCTAAAGGCCCCTGCACCTCTGGTGATGGCCCTTATCTCTACAAAGCTTTTGTAGTTTCTTCTCTGTCCATAGAAACTTAGTTGTTCTCAACATTTTGACTAGAGTGCTAGGAAGAAGGCACTCAGCTTCTCAGCAAAAACAGAACTCATTGACTCCCAGTTAACATATTAAAACAAAACACTTCAAATATGTAGTATGCATCTCTGCCCCAGGTCAGTACCTTTCCCTTGTTGAGAAAATCCTGACCTTCTGCTCTTGAGAGTGTAGTGATTAGAAGGCTGAAGGTTTCAGCATCAACTGTCATTAGCCTTGCATGGGATCAGACAGAGGGGCAGAATTCACCAGAATGTCAGGCAAAGCCAGCCACCTTCTAGCTGGGTTGGTCTTGTCTTCCCAGTTCCCTCCCACTGATGGTACTTGGGGAGCTAAACGCCTCCCTCTCCTGACTGCTCAGTTCCTTCAGAGATGCAGATACATTCGGGGGTTAAAGTCTTGTTAGCACACTTTCTGGGGTCTAGGCCCTACGACTTGCATTTCTAAGTTCTTCTCGGGTAGTGATGTTGATGCTGCTGGTCCAGGACCATGTTTGAGAACAGTCAGTTTCAGAAATCTTGCTTACATCTTGGAGAAGAAAAGGATGGTCATCCTCTTCCATCCTCTGTGCCTTTGGCTTTTCTATGTTGCCACCTGATCAGCCTGGCACTTGGAATTGCCTAGCTTTTTTACTTCTGCTTCACTCTTTGCCCAGAGTGCCCTTGCCTCAACCTCTAAGCATCTGGAAGGGCACCACATTCTCTTTGAGGGAGCCAGGTGGGGAAGAAGGAAGCCAGTAGAAAGGCTGGTTTTTGTGAACGCAGCTTTCTCTGCAGAGTTAAGGGTTGGGGGGCTGCTCAGCATGGTCAGGTTGTGTAGGCTGCCCACCTGCAACTCTGTTAATTGATTTTTCAGTGCCAATCACCGACTCACTTGGGTGTATTCCATTTTGTAGTCAGAAACCATAGAGAACTACTTTGAGGTGCCTCCCAGAAAGTACAAAACTATGAATTACTTATTTTGAAGATGGTTCATAGGACAGTAACAGGAGAATGTTGCATCTTTTTCCCCTATCACAAGGGATGGGAGTGCTAAGACTTCTTGGTGGCGAGTTGGGCAGTCTTTTCTGGGAAGATAAGCAGCTAGGCTTGTGTTCTGATAGGGCCTCTCCAAGAAGCTGTGACTGTTGGTTAACTTTGGCTTCACAGAGTGATTTTGACAGTGATTTGGATGAATGCTTAAAGAGGGAGATTTAAGCCCTCTAGCTGTATTAGGCATATATATATAGATGTAGATACATAGATCAATCTTTGGTCACTTAATCATTTTAGTCTTTCCATGAGGACAGATCCAGTTGTCATTCTAGTGAGCATAGGCTTTAAAAAGGGGGTATGGCTCTGACACAAGACTTAGTTAGCTCCTTTCCGAGCCCCAGGCTCACACACTCACTCCCTGTGTTATGTACCTCCCTGCTCATCTTCGTGTGTTGTGTGTCCTTAGCTGTTCGACCACATTGCTGAATGCCTGGCAAACTTCATGGACAAGCTACAGATCAAAGACAAGAAACTCCCTCTGGGTTTTACCTTCTCCTTCCCCTGCCACCAGACTAAGCTCGACGAGGTAAGAGAGGCTTTCAAACCATTCTATTACCTTGTTCTTGGCTGGGTGGACCAGAAAGGACATCTGAGTCACCTGCCACTGTGGTGTCAATGGTGCCCCAAAGGGGTTGAGTCCAGAATTCTGAATTCTGTCCACCCATGTGACAGGTGACTCTGTGTGTGTGTGTGTGTGTGTGTGTGTGTGTGTGTGTGTGTGTGTGTGTGTAGCTGCTGAGGAAATGGTGACAAAGTGTCACAGAAATGGGGTGTTTTCATCACTCTTGCCTCCATTAATATCACACAATCTCTTATCCTGCTGACAGAAGCAGGACTGAAAAATTAGAAACTCCTCTGATCTAAAGTATTGTGATAAAGATCTCGGGAATAAAGACACAGTAGTGTCTGGTTTGGGTAGTTCTAAGCCTGTTGTTGTTGCTTATTGGGGACCTGAGAGTCTCAGCTTATTTGGTTTTTAATGGGTCCTGAGTTTCTCCTTCCCAGCCTAGTCAAATGGCAACATACAAATTCAATCATGACTTTAGCCCAGTGGCAGTGACTTGTGCTCATGGTGGCTCTTTGAGGGGTATGGCCCAAGTTCTAGCTGTGAGAAATCAATATTCATTCCTCGATCCTTTTCCAGAGTTTTCTGGTGTCATGGACCAAGGGGTTCAAGTCCAGCGGAGTGGAAGGCAGAGACGTGGTGGCTCTGATCCGCAAGGCCATCCAGCGGAGAGGGGTGAGTGAATGGGTTAGCTGGTGCTTGGGGTCCATGGGTTCTTTTGGGTTCCCCCTGAAGTCTTCCCTCTTCTCCCTGCTGTGTTTGCCCATCTGATTTTGTGTGTGATCAGATGCGTTTTGGGGTCTCAGAGGAGTGCAAGGACTGAATAATCATGATTGTGGTGAAGGAAAGCCCCTAAGTTCTTACCCTGAGAAAGAGCTGGATATCAAATTTAAATAATAAAGTTGGGATGTTTTTGATATAAAAATGGAACAGAACAGAGAAGGGAAATGACACGGAAGAAGGGAAGAGAGAAAAGAAGAAGGAAGAGACAATAAGATGGACTCCATTAATGCACTGGTGGCTGTGGATTGCTTGCTGGGCTGCCAGTGAGGAAGTTGGGCCTCTGCATGGAGGCCAAGCAGAATGGGAAGTAGGTTGGCACAGTTTGACCACATGTGGACTTGGGAGTTCCAGCTCTTACCCTCCTGGGGATGGGTTAGTTGGGGGAAGCTCTGCTCTGGTTAAGCTGTATGTCCTTTTCCCATCTTCACATCTGAAGCCCTCTGTGATATTGATGGTTCCCCCATAGGACTTTGATATTGACATTGTGGCTGTGGTGAATGACACAGTTGGGACCATGATGACCTGTGGCTATGATGACCAGAACTGTGAAATCGGTCTCATTGTTGGTGAGTAGATTCTGGATGGTGGGCTGGAAAGGGAAAAGAAAATTGTGGTTAGGTGTTTTCTTGTACTTCATATCTAAAGATTATTTGTACAGTCACTTTGGAGGACTGAGACAGGACTTGTGTAGTTGGGAATAGCAGAGGACAGGATCTTGGGTTGTGATTCACTGGGAATTTCTGGCAATGAATTCCAGCCCACCGGGTACGCTTAGGTCTGTGGTGACAGAGGGAGATGAGGCTCTGGGGATGAGAAGGTGTGGTTGGTGCTGAGCAGTCCCTTGCTTTAACCAGGCACGGGCAGTAATGCCTGCTACATGGAGGAGATGCGCCACATCGACATGGTGGAAGGCGATGAGGGGCGGATGTGCATCAACATGGAGTGGGGGGCATTTGGAGACGACGGCACACTCAATGACATTCGCACTGAGTTTGACCACGAGATTGACATGGGCTCGCTGAACCCTGGGAAGCAACTGTGAGTAGGCTCTTCCTGGGAGGGTGGGCTTGGAGCTAAGGAGCTGAGGTTGGGTTTGGCCAAGGCTGGGCTTGGTTCCTTATAGTATTGTATCCCCAAAATGTTGCTCAGGCATAATCGGTTATGGAAATACCTGTGACCACCTCTCACAAAGAGAGCTGTGGAACAGATAGAGCAAGCATTGGACCAGATTATAGCTGATAATTTAGCTCTGACCTTTGGATTACCTTCCTCTCTGTGTAAATATTCATAAAACTCTTATCTTAGCCACATAAGAAAATGATGTAATGATGGTCAAGATTACCATCTCTAAAGACATCTTTTGTAGCTGCCACCCATCACTATCCACTACAAGGCTGTGGTACTTCCTAGCCCATGGAATCCTGGACTTCCTGCCCCAGCTGCAGGCAGGCCAATGGCTTGGTGGAGGCTGGCTAAGGAACCCCCCTGGATCTCCACCCTGGACTGTGTCCCAGTCATGACCGGGGGTGAACTAGAGAATGCCCCAGCAGTTTGGACCCTGACTGCTGTACTAGCCAGCCTGGCCTGACTTGACTCTTACAACACATTATTTCACTCTCGCATTTGCCAAACGTCCCTGTGAAAGATCTTAAAATAGGATTGCTGCAAACTCTGAAGGCCGTTGCAAAATGTTTTGAGTAATACGCTGCTCTCTGGGTCTTGTCGCTGTAACCATGTTAGGAGCTCCTTTAATGCAGATGTCTTCTTGGAGATGATTGCCCACCCTGTAAAACCAGGTTGCCAATGGGCAGCCCTTTTCCATGCAAGTGACCTTGCTTCCTCTTTACTTGTTGAAATGTAATTCTTTGCACTTTCTTAGGAATATTCACACTCGGGACACACTTAGATTGTGTCTTCCATGGATGGTGAGGTTTTTATGAGCTGAAAAACCACTCAGTCACTGCCTTCCTTCCTTGATGAGGCACGCCCAAGTTACCAGAGGAGCTATATGAGGAGCTATATGTCCTTTGAAGTGCCCAAAAATGGGGACTAGCAGTCAGGCCTTGGCAACACATCCCTAGCTTGTCCTCAGGCTAGACAAAGGCTGGGAGGATATATGAAGGGGCTTCAAAAGGTTTGAAAAACATGGAATTAAAAGTTTATTTTCTTACAAAAAGTAAAATGTTGAAATCCATGATTAGTTTTTCCAGACTATGCATTTTCCATAAACATTTTGAAGACCCCTCATGTGCATAGATTTAATTTTTTCTTTCTTTTTTTGCTTCAAAGTAAATTTAACCTTTAATTGAATTTCCCATGAGCTTTGAGTGCCTTCATAAGCCAGTTGTCAACTGAAGCCCTGAAGTCATGACAGGACAGTTCCTCTTCCCCCACCTACTGTGTCTAAGTAAATATCTTGCGAATATTGACCAGCACAGAGTAGTTTAGAATACATCCTTACAAAACATCCCCTGTACTTGGGAGCTCTGCTGGCCACAGAGCCAGCTCCCTAGCAGATGTGGAAGAAGACAACATGAGTTCTGGGCTAGAGAGGAGAGCACCAGTGTCACTGTCATCATGTTTTAAATCTACCTTGGGCTCTAACCCACTTTCTCAGTTCTCGGTGAGCACTGGTCCTGCCATACCTGGCCCTTGGTCTTGAGCAAGGCACCACCCAAGGGCAGTCCTGGTGTTCTCTGAGACCCAGATCTTTCCAAAGATTCCCAGAAATGACCCTTCTTTGTCAGGAAGCACTGCCAGTACTGGGTTTCCTCTGCCACATAGCGTTGGCCCTTTTGGTGTCTGAAGGAAACAGTGACACCTAGTGTTGGAAAATTAAGTTGCCTAACTGCCCTTGCAGTTGCGGGGTGGGGGTGGCCTATGCCTTTGCTTTCACCTATCCTCCCCACCTTCATAATTTTGAAAACCAGTTTTCCATGAAGGCACACTTGATCCACAGGTGGAGAGCAATGGGGATTAATGAGCTGCTAAAGTCTGTGCCCTGCATTTAATCTGATTGGAGTGCTACATAAAATTTTACTTATTTCAAAGACTTTTTTTGTTTGTTTTTTAATTGGAAAGGGCAATTTACAGAGAAACAGAGAGAAAGATTTTGCACCTGCTGGTTCACTCCCCAAATGGCCGCAACGGCTGGAGCTGAGCTGATCTAAAACCAGGAGCCAGGAGCCTCTTCCAGGTCTCCCATGTGGGTGCGGAGTCCCAAGACTTTGGGCTGTCCTCAACTGCTCTCTCAGGCTACAAGCAGGGAGCTGGATGGGAAGTGGAACATCTGGGATATGAGCCAGCATCCATATGGAATCCCAGCACTTGCAAGGGCAGGATTAGCCAATTGAACCATCATGCCAGGCCCAAGATTTTATTTTAAAAAATAGAGTACCTAGCTACAGAAAAAAAAATTTTCAAAATCTTTGCCCTATACATAAGTTACTTTAGCCAAAATTCAGACCATTCCAGAATATTCCATACGTCCAAGACCTGCAGGGCAGCCCAAGCCACCCAGTCCCAGAAGCCCCCTGAACTATCACTTGTTCACATTCCTAGGCTGTGCCACCTGTGGCAACTCTCCACCTGCCCTCCATCCTGTAACATCTGTTGAAGTTGGTATGTGTGGGTGTTGCTTCCGCAGGAAGGTTTGAACTCAGCAACAGGGGCTTCAGTTTTCCCATTTGTGTCCCTGCAGGTTTGAGAAGATGATCAGCGGGATGTACATGGGCGAGCTGGTCAGGCTCATCCTGGTGAAGATGGCCAAGGAGGAGCTGCTCTTTGGGGGGAAGCTCAGCCCTGAGCTGCTCACTACAGGTCGCTTTGAGACAAAAGATGTTTCCGATATCGAAGGGTAAGCTTCTGGCTCCTGCATATCTTTTGCTCGGGTCCCAGAGGGGTGGGTGGACATTAGAAGCATGAGAATGGAAGCTGGACTCGGGCCCTTCGAGCCCGGGCCTCTCCAAGAGGGTACTTCACACGGTGGACCACGCTGGGCCTGTGGCTTCGTTCAGCTCCCTAACCGGTTTTCTCTCTGTATATGTCGGGACCTGAACACTGCACTGGATTCGGTGCCGGAGATGTTACCTAGGGCCCCTTAGTGACTCTTAAGCACCTGTCTCCCTTTTCTTCTCCAGAGATTTCTGATTTCATTCCCTACCAGTTTATTTATTTTTAAACTTTTGATGATGCTTACTTAGTTGAGAAGGGAACATGCCCATGTGGACCACTACTTAGGGTGGGAAGGATCAAGCAATAGGGGAAAGTGGATGAAACTTGTTTCCAAGGTTTTTTCTTCTTCCTGTATCTGGGGGGAAGGGAGAAGCTGTACCCAGTATCCTAATCACATCAGTACCCAGGGATGGGGGACGGCCACCCGATGTCATCCCTGGGTCTCCAGTGTCCCACCAGTTGTTTTCAAAAGGAACTCCATTGCCTGGCTGGGCTGGTAGTGCAGATGACCTTCCTCTGTTTGATTTTTTTGTTGTTGTTGTCGTTGTCGTTTAATGATATCCCAACAATCAGGCCTAGAATCCTGCTTATAGACTGAAGAGATCTTACTGTTTCAGGGACCAGATGAGGTAGGACAGAACACTCAAACCAAGCAACTTAAGTAAAAACTCCTGGGAGGACAGTGTCTATTTGTTGCTAAACTCTAAGTGGATCAAACTACTCCTTGCCTGGAAGGTGTTCAGTTCTGCTAGCAGGTTAGTGCCAGCCCTGCATGGCTGACTGGATGCAGATAGATTCAGGCTGCTCGGGGGTGGAGGGGGATTGAAGACAAGTGGGCACTGCTGCTGGATTCAAATGATTTGAATTAGTTGGTGGCAAAGAGATGATCTGATTTCCCAAAAATCAGCCAGCATAGCACAAACTCACACTGATAGAGCTCACCAAACAAGGCGCCAAGGTCAGTACACATCACAAATATTAGTTGTTGGGCCCAACACGGTAGCTGGTGGTTCTCGCCTTTCATGTGCTGGGATCCCATATGGGTGCCAATTTGTGTCAGAGCAGCCCTGCTTCCCATCAGCTCCCTGCTTGTGACCTGGGGAAAACAGTGGAAGATGGCCCAAAGCCTTGAGACCCTGCACCCGTGTAGTAGATCTGGAGAAAATGTCTGGCTTTGGATCAGCTCAATTCTGGCTGTTTTGGCCATATAGGGAGTGAATCAGCAGACAGAAGATCTTCCTCTCTGTATATCTGACTTTTTGTTTAAAAAAAATGCTATTTTATTTACTTTTATTTGAAAGGTATAGTTACAGAGAGAAAGAAATCTTCCATCTGCTAGCTCACTCCCCACATGGCCATAGTAACTTCAACTGGGCCAGTTGAAAGCCAGGAGCTTCTTCCAGATTCCCCCTGTGGATGCAAGGGTTAAAGCACTTGAGAAAGCTTTCTCAAGAACACCAGCAGAGAGCTGGATCAGAAGTGGAGCAACTGGGACTTGAACCAGTGTCCACATGGGATGTCAGCACCACAGGTGGAAGTCCAATTTACTATGATACAGTGCTAGCCTCAGAAATTGTATTTTTTCTCAGTGGAGGCAAAAGTGGCTACATTTATTTTGCCCCCTCCTCCTTTGCTTGTCCTCCATCTCCCTCCCTTCTGGCAGGTGCAGCAGTAACAAGGGATTCTGTTGTTTCCAGAAAATGGAGTTTTCTGGAGCTGAGGGCTTGCGCTTCTTGCTCAGACCTCCTAATCACACACACATACTATCTTTTGCAATTCCCAGGGAGAAGGATGGCATCAAGAAGGCTCTGGAAGTCCTGGTACGGCTGGGCCTGAACCCAACCCAGGAGGACTGCGTGGCCACCCACCGAATCTGCCAGATCGTGTCCACACGCTCAGCCAACCTGTGCGCAGCCACCCTGGCTGCCGTGCTGCGGCGCATCAAGGAGAACAAGGGCGTGGAGCGGCTGCGTTCCACCGTGGGAGTTGACGGCTCTGTCTATAAGAAACACCCCCAGTGAGTCTGCCTCCTGAGGCCTGCAGTGACCCTGCAGGCCAGTTCCCTTGCCTGCCAGGGCGGGGTGGATGGACCATGGCGTGTGGGTCTTTGCAGGGGCTTGCATGAGATCACCGACAGGTGATTTTTAAAGACTGCTCATGCCTTGGGCTCTGCACGGAGCTGCCCCAGTTGCTAGGCATTCTCTTCCCACTCTGTTCCTCACGAGGCAGTGCTTCCATCTGTCTGTTGCTCCCACTTTCCCAGCATTTTCACTTGACCTGAGCTCCAGTGTCTTCATTGGCTGCTGTGGCTGAACTGAAGGCCACACCCAGGGACTTCTGGTACAGTACCTTAAAAACTATAACCTACATGCTCTGGACTTTTCAGAGGCAGGTGCTGGTTCAGAATGCCTGGGCCAGCTCATCACTGTGCATGTTTCTAACAGTACTCAGGCTGCTGGCCCATGCCTTGGTCCTGGCTCAAAGTAGCCACCACTTGGAAAACTTTTGGCTGAACATGTTGTTGCCCTTGGCTGTTCAGATACCATTAACGCTACTGGGAGTAGCTGACAGACAGGGGACCCAAGTACAGAAGAAGAGCACTTTTCGTTTTCCAGTACTGGGTCTCTCCAAGGTAGCACTCATTCATTGAGTGGCCGGCCATGAGAAGTAGATGGTGTTAGATTCAACAGACATCATTGGGCAGCTCCAGTGGAGAGGCTATATCATACTGGGGAGAGGAGCTTGAGGAAGAAGAGGTCTTGTGTGACTACATATGGGGGACAGTTAGAAGGGTCCTTTTCAGAACAGGTGGACCCAGTTGAATATGTGGACGTTTGTTCACTGACCCCTTTTCTGGGAACAACTGGGGAAAGAGCATTAGGGCGGCTCTGCTCCTGCAGGTACCTCCTGGTGTTTGAGCCTAGGAAGTAACCTACTGCCACCACCATGTGCCCTGTTGGTCTCACTGTGCCCATCTGTCTCTTGTCCCACCTGGGTGACTGCAGTTTTGCCAAGCGTCTTCACAAGACTGTGCGAAGGCTGGTGCCCGACTGTGATGTCCGCTTCCTCCGTTCAGAAGATGGCAGTGGCAAAGGGGCAGCCATGGTGACGGCAGTGGCCTACAGGCTGGCTGACCAGCACCGAGCCCGCCAGAAGACCCTGGAGTCTCTGAAGCTGAACCATGAGCAGTTGCTGGAGGTCAAGAGGAGGATGAAGTTAGAAATGGAGCGCGGTCTGAGCAAGGAGACCCATTCTGTGGCCCCCGTCAAGATGCTGCCCACCTACGTATGTGCCACTCCTGATGGCACAGGTATGTCACCCAGGCCATTGCACTGCTGTGGAGGTTGGGCATTCTCATTGGATGTTTGTTAGCTGTATTATTGTGGAATCCCACTGGAGGTTCCTCTGCTACCAAAGGACAGTAATAGTGGTCAGTAGTCTAAGGTTCTTACTGTGTGTCCAATCTGTGCAGTAATCCACTTAGTCTTCATAAAGTGTTAACAGAGGTGAATATTAAACTTTGTTTAGTAACAACCTGCTTCATTTGGCAGAAGCTGAGGCACAGAATTAAGACCTGCCCAAGTTCACACAACTAAGAAGATATCAGAGCTGAGATTCACACTCAAGAATTCCGGTTCCAGAGCCAGCTTTCACAACCACCCCATTGATCTGGGTCAAAGATTGACAAACCATGGCCCAAGAGTCAGATTTGGGCCACAGAAGCATTTGTAAATGAAGTTGTATTAGAACACAACCACCATGCCTGTTCATCTACACATTGTCTATGGCTGGTGGCACTGTGTGGCAATGTCCAGTGGCTGATAAGCCCAAGTTGCTCCCTGGCTTGCCATGTACAGAAAAAGGTTTCAAATCTGATGTTGATCTTCCAAGCAAAGAAATGGTGGATCTATGTGCAGGCTAGTGTATATGTAAATATAGCACAGTGGATATAGGCTCCAGAAACAAACTTGGGCTTGGCCCCTGCTCAACCCAGTCTGCCTGTGTAGCCTCAAGCAAGCGGTTTACTGTACTTCATTCAGCCAGGTTTCTATTTTCTATGAGAATGGAATAAAATGCCTCCCCTGCAGCATTGCCAAAGGGGTTGAATGAAAACTGTGTTGCATATTGGAATTCCCCAAGAAGGAAGGTGCTATTCATTTGAAATGATTTCCCTTCTAGTTTGTTTCAAGATCTTGGCTCTGCTAGAATCCTGGTAGCCTAGACTCTAATATAAAGTGATGTCTAACTTGGCCCAAATGGCGCATTTAATTAATGATAAGCACCCTGTATCAGCATTCCCTGTTTTCTGCATAGCTCATTCTGACTTCCACCTTCCTCTTGGATTCAAAGGAACTGGCTCTGGCCCAGGGGATCCTACCTTCTTCACTGTTGTGTAGAGCTCATGAGCCGTTGAACGGCTTCACCCACAGGGGACGGTGCATTAGACTCTGCCTTGCTGTTGCAAGGTGGGGATGGCCCAACTTATCATCTTCTTGGTCTGTTTTCCAGAGAAAGGAGACTTCCTGGCCTTGGACTTGGGAGGAACCAACTTCCGGGTTCTGCTGGTACGGGTGCGAAACGGGAAGAGGCGTGGTGTAGAGATGCACAACAAGATCTACTCCATCCCACAGGAAGTCATGCATGGCACCGGGGACGAGGTGAGACATGGGCTCTGGGTACACTCCTGGACCTTCAGGTCAGCCTTTGGCATCTGCTTCCCCTTGGCCTGGGGAGGGCTAGGCAGGTTCAGAGAGACCTGGCCTGGTCCTTCTTCAGATTTGGGTTCAGGCTTGTAATTCTTCTGGGTGGAGACCTTGAGTTGGTACCCAGTCTGCTATGGCTAGAGCCCTTCCTTGACTGCCACCCATTTCTCTCTGTAGCTCTTTGATCACATTGTCCAGTGCATCGCTGACTTCCTGGAGTACATGGGCATGAAGGGCGTGTCTCTGCCCCTGGGCTTCACCTTCTCCTTCCCCTGCCAGCAGAACAGTCTGGATGAGGTAACAGCACTTCCCAGAAGACTCTATCAACTCTAAACTTACTCGCTTACTCGGATTTCAAGGGAAGCTGTGGTGGTGGGAAGTTGAGTCAAGAGGAGGGGTAAGGGGGCATAGGTACCCGGTAGGAAGGAGGGAACCCTTGGTGGGAATGAGGTAACACAAGACTGGTGAAGATTAAATAGGCCAGCTCAGCAGTGATAGTCTTTGGGATGAAGATCATGCTAATTAAAATACTAGCAATTCATGTTTTTTAAGCATTCACTTTGTACCAGATACTGTACTAGACTTGCCACATGCCTTATCTCAGGTTGTTCTCATAGCAGCTGCCCAAGACAGGCTGTTTGTATGCTTTACAGAGAAGCGCAAGTGCCGAGTACCTTGCCCCAGGTCATGCAGCAGGGGTGTAGCCAAGCCACAGCTTCAGTCCTGGTTTTCTGGCACCCGAGTCCATGCTGTCAATGACACTGCAGGCTCTTGTTGCAGCATCAGGGCATTTTTATTCTGACTCCTCTTGGGTAATTGCCCTAATTCTTCTCTGGTTTCACATTTACCTCTCATTCTCCTTCAAGTTGCCTTGGATGAGTGAAGCAAGTGGTAAAGATATGGCGCTCCTGAGTGTTTTCATGAGTGTGCTGAGGAGTAGAGGAGAATGGAATAGGCCACGCTTGGGTGTGGGCTAATGGCCAGTGGAGCAGATGTCAGAGTACGGCCACTGAGGCACCTGTTCCTTTGTGTCTTAGTGAGTCGTGTCTGTGCCCATGTGCTTGCCACGGATGCAGTTGCCAGGTAGAGAAGGCATGTCCTGCCCTAGATCCGTGCAGAGGGCTGATGAACCAATCTCAGAGAAGTAAGAGCTGCTGTTTGGTACGTGGCACTGAATTGCTCAGGATTTGCAGTGAGATGCTAGTCTGCTTGTGCACCTGGAGGGCTCCAGGAGTGGTTAGAACAAGTCACAGGAAGGAAGTAGGGAGGATAAAGGCAGAAGACCTAGCCAGCATGGGAACAGGCTTGTGGGCAGAATTGGCCGGAGCCCATCCATGGGAGGAGGAAAGGCCAACCGTGTGCCACAAGGGCATGGAACACTGATCACCAAGTTGTTCATCTGTGTTTTGTCAATGCCTCCTTCTTCTCCCTCCTTGAAGTTCAACTTCCTCTGTGCACTGGTTACATGAAGGTTTGGGGAAATAGTGTAATGAAAAGCCTGCGTCCTCCATCAAAATGCCTAGATTCAAGTCCCGGCTGTACTTCTTACTATAGTCTCCAACTAGTGTGCCCTCTGGGAGGTTGATAAGCAGGTGATGGCTCACGTAGTTGGGTCCCTGCCACCCACATAGGAGACCTAAGATTGAGTTCCTAGATCCTGGCACAGCTCTGGCTGTTGTGAACATTTGGGGAGTAAACCAGCAGAGAGGAGTCCACCCTGTCTCTTTGTCTTTCAAACAAAACAACCTTAGACTGAGATATATAAAGGACAGGGACAAGGCAAACTTCCCAGGGAAGGAGACACTATGGAGGAACATTTATATGAGTGCATTCATTAATCAGCAGGCCTGGAGGGAGTCTGGCTCTTGTCCTCTAATCTGTAGACCTTGAGCAAATGACTCTAGAACTTGAGTTGCCTAGGAAGTGGGCCTGATCATGACAAATATCCCACAGGTGGCTGTGAGGATAAACTGGTATAATACATGTGATGTGCTCAGAGCAGTAGCTGGTGCAGAGAAGGTGCCCAGGATACTCCAACTAGTACTTAATAAGGCAAACTGAGCATTCTTCATGGGTGAGGTTGCTAACTTGAGAGGTTGAAAGCTGGAAGCACAGCCCGGACCCTGGGAATAACTCAAGAACCTTTCTCTGATTGCCTGTCCATGCCCATGTGTGATTTTTTAGAGCATCCTCCTCAAGTGGACAAAAGGCTTTAAGGCATCTGGCTGTGAGGGTGAGGACGTGGTCAGTCTGCTGAAGGAAGCCATCCATCGGCGGGAGGTGAGCAACGAGGCATCAGGCCTGATGTCGGAGGAGGCCACATGAAGTACTGTTGTGTTGATGAGTGTGGAGGTGGCGTGTGCCTAATTCAGTGTCCTCTCCATGTCAAGCCCTTTTGTTAGCCTGAGGATTCAGGAGGGGCTGCTGTGAACACAAGCACATGGCCCTCTAGCAGGTGCTCTTAGAGGCTGTGAAGAAAATTAATTTGGGGAGAAGAGGTGAGCGGATGGTGTAAAATGAGTTGAGAAGGGCAGTTTAACAGCACAGCTTGGAGTGGTCTCTGAGGAAATTACATCTGAACAGACATGAATGAAGAAGCGTGTGGGGGGCTCACTGTGCTTGGCATGTGCGTCTGTCCTCTCAGGAGTTTGACCTGGATGTGGTTGCTGTGGTGAATGACACGGTGGGAACCATGATGACCTGTGGCTATGAAGACCCTCACTGTGAAGTGGGCCTCATCGTTGGTAAGAAGGCTGGCTGGCCTTCTGCATGGGGGATGCATGGCCTCGGGTGCCTGGGAGGCCAGCGCTGAGTGGGCCTGGTGCTGCTGTGATTGGCAGGTACGGGCAGCAATGCCTGCTACATGGAGGAGATGCGCAACGTGGAGCTGGTGGACGGAGAAGAGGGGCGCATGTGTGTCAACATGGAGTGGGGGGCCTTCGGGGACAATGGATGCCTGGAAGACTTCCGCACCGAGTTTGATGTGGCCGTGGATGAGCTTTCCCTCAACCCTGGCAAGCAGAGGTAGGCCCGCAGCCACATGGGGATTCTGTTACCTGTATCCTAGGATTGCATAGTGTTGTAGGCAGCAGCCTCACTGACTGTACCACAGTGCTAGCCCCAACCTTATTCTTTTAAAGGACATTATGCTGGGCCAACAGGTCCTCAAGCCATTGCATGGTCATGTTCGATTCCAGTGGCCTGGGCAGGAAGTCTACAGCCGGTGTTAGTGGTTTGATTCATGATGAGCAGGCTCAGAAGAAGGTGTGCCAAATGTCTAGTGAAGATAGGGATTAACATGGCATCCAAGAGTGGTGTTTTGAGGGGGGTATTCCCTCTTGAGGAATTGACAGGAGGCCCTGGGAATAATTCTAGAAGGTGGGGCAACTCCTGAGGGCCCTGTGGGCCTTTGCTGCAGGTGGCAGATCAGCATGTGAGGATGCCAGGTGTCTTGCCCAAGTGAATCTGGTAGTGTAGCCTTTCACACCAAGAGGAGTCAGCATATCTTCCACTTTGTCAAACACTGGGACAACTGTGGAGGTCTTTTGTGTCTCAGTACATCCTGACAACCTTCTGGTTTAACTTCCATGCATGTTGAACCCTCTAGGTTTGAGAAGATGATCAGCGGTATGTACTTGGGGGAGATTGTACGTAATATCCTCATCGATTTCACCAAGCGTGGGCTGCTGTTTCGTGGGCGCATCTCGGAGCCACTCAAGACAAGAGGAATCTTTGAAACCAAGTTCCTGTCTCAGATTGAGAGGTGAGAGTTTAAGGCTCAGGGCAGGTTGGGACTGTGTTCACCTGTTTACCCATGGTTAGAAAAGCTAAAGGATCCACACGTCAAGGAAGATCAGGACATGGCTTTTACCAAGGTCATTTCAGTAGTCAAGACACTCTTATCTCCAGGGCTTACTTGCATAAAGAACATAATGGGTAGAGGTGATTTAAAGGCAGGTGTATCATGCATCACTGGATAGTGAGATTATAAGGATACATTCTGAGAACTGCATCATTACAAAGTTAGCATGGACATTGTAGATGAACTTGACAGCCACGAGATAGTTAGGTTATATAATATCATAGGACCACTCTATGCCATCCATGCATGATCATGCATGACATTTTATGGAAGATCATGTTAAGCATGGTGTGAAACCATTTGAGGCAATATTACATGTCTCTGTAAGGCAGGAAATGATTCCAGGCTCCCAAAATGGTTCCCTTTATACAATAGGTTTGTTTTCTCCTTCCCACTTTATTTGTGTTAGTTTCATAAATCGGGCATGGGCAGAGTTCAGACCACTGGGGACGGGAGCATCAGGAATCTGTTGCTGGTCAGTTCACGCTTATCCTGCAGACCTGTGGACAGCAAAGAGAAAAGGACATAAAGGACTTTGCAGCCAGGAACTGCTCCTTCTGGGCATTGCCACTGCCTTCATTGTTTCCCAGTGAGTGAAAGGAGTATATCTTCCTACAAGCATCAGTTTTGTAATGCAACGTCCAACCTTGCACAGACCAAGTAGAATGGCATCTGTTTCTTTACATTCCAGTCCCTCAGGCAGAGCCAGTGCTGTCTAGTGCAATCACTGATCTGAATTCAGGATCAGGAGCCATCTTCTAAAGCACACTCCCAGAGGGCCAGACCTCACTCCCATCATGGAGCTTCTGATGAAGGATCCAGGCCCCAAAGTAGGAAGCCTCAAGTGCTCGTGTCTCACACTGACCACTCACTGTTTCCTTCCCGCTCCAGTGACTGCCTGGCTCTGCTGCAGGTGCGGGCCATCCTGCACCGTCTGGGGCTTGAGAGCACCTGTGATGACAGCATCATTGTCAAGGAAGTGTGCACTGTGGTGGCACGGCGGGCAGCCCAACTCTGTGGGGCAGGCATGGCCGCTGTGGTGGACAAGATACGAGAAAACCGGGGGCTGGACACTCTCAAAGTGACTGTGGGCGTGGATGGGACCCTCTATAAGCTACATCCTCAGTGAGTATCTGGGTCCAGCCTTCCCTGCCTGCTTTCTCTTTTCTTCCTTCTCTCCACTCTTCTCTCTTTCTTAAACATTTTATATGTGAAGATGTGTATACTCCAGCTTGAAGGTTCTGTAGGCTTGTGTTCTATCAGCCCTCCACCCCAGCACTGGGAGCCCCTCAACAAGCCCCTCTGCGATTGCACCCTCCCTCCCCCATGCCACAGACAAGTATTGTGTTAATTTAGTCATTTGCTTTTCTTCCCGCTATAGGTCAAGGTACACATTTCTGTGGGTTAGGTTACTTATTTCTGAGCTGGCCACTAATGGAATCGCAGCATCTCTTCTGCAAATGGCTTTTCCCACACAGTGCTTACAGTTTTGAGATGCTGCATCCACACTGAAGTGTGCAGATGTAGTTGGTTCCTTTTCAGATCTGGAGATCACGCCACAGAGCATGACATTTGAATTCTGGATTGTGACTATTTTACAGTGCTGTTGTGATGGCTTTACAAAATGTATGCTAAAACTCGAGCAAGATTTTTTTCCTACAGCCTGGGGCAAGCAGATCACAGCCACTGGCTGGTTTTGTTAGAACACAGCCTTAGCTGTTTGTTGATGCCTTGTCTGGATGCTCACAGACCAAACGGCTCTCAAGTTACTCTTGTGCTGCCCTCCATCTCTCTGTTTCTCTGTTCTCTTCTTTCCCCTCATTTGCACATGTTTTGAATAATTCATCTTGAGGACAGGAAATGCTCCCAGACTCTCCCCCAGAAACCTTTCAGGTAAAGAAAGAGTAAATGAGTGGACCTGTGCCTTGGCTGGGCAGTGGGCACAACATAGTATGAAGGACGGGGAGCCTGGGTTCTGTCTTGCTCACGTCGTGTTTGTTTCAAGAGGCTCTTCCAGAATCTACACAGTTAGTGAAGGAACCAGGTCTCTTTCCTTGATCAGTGTCATGGCTAAAATAGGAGCATGGGTTCTGGGTGAGTGTTGGGAGGGAGGCAGCCTGGGGCTCTGGGACCTAGCATCAAGTCTCCGATAGGGAAGATATCCTGACATGCTAGGGTGAAGCCAGCATTGACAATTTATTTCTCATGCCCCACATGGAAAGACTGTGGCCACTGTGCTATTCTGGCAGTGATTTTATGTCTGCCTGTTTTGTGTGCAATGATACATTGGAGTGGATGTGATTTGATGTGAGGTAGTGTCCTTGGAAAATACAAAGACATGCATGGGCATCAGTCTCCCCCTGTGGAGTTTCTGAAACATGTTCTGAAACAGCTTCTGTGCCGTTGAACTTCTCTTTCTTTGACGAGTTTTAAGGGCATAACTTGCCAGAATCTCTGACATTTGTCCCAGAGTCCTAGCCCCTTCAACTGCCCTTTGTGATAGAGAACTTGAACAATATATTACTAGCATCCCCAAGCCTCTGTTTTCTAGTTGGTATTTATGAAGTAAATGTTTCCCAGGTTTTAGCAGTCCATCTGCTCATCTTCATGGTTGATCGGTTTTCAGCGTCACTTCTTAGGTCTCATCTCTGAGGACACAAAAGAATCGACTTAAATCCTTTTTCCTGTGTTTTCCTCCCGCCCTTTCCAGCTTTGCCAAAGTTATGCACGCAACAGTGAAGGAACTGGCCCCCAAATGTGACGTGTCCTTCCTGGAGTCGGAGGATGGCAGTGGCAAGGGGGCAGCTCTCATCACTGCTGTGGCCTGCCGCATCCGAGAAGCCGGACAGCGATAGGACCCCTGACATCACAAAGGACTTCTGGTTCTCCCCTTCCCCACTTTAAATTATAAGATGTCACCCCCGTGTCAGACTGACCCCTTGGCTTTTCCTTGGCAGAGAGGATCCCACTGGACTGGGTCTTGTTCCTGTAATTACTCACTGTACAGTTTGATACCTACAGATAAACACAGCTTGAAGTAAGAATTTGTTCCCATTAGTCACAACCAGCCCCATTGGTTCTCTTAAGAAAATTAACTCTTGGTAGTAATACCCCTGGTCATGTTCCACACCTCTGAAAGGATGGGGGTAATACTGATAATGACAACAGTTCTTCACCTCGGAGCCTGAGCGCAACATTTCTATGTGAAAAGCGTCCCCCAGCAGAGCGCCAGACATCTGGGCAATCTGCAAGTGAGCCTGATTCTTCTACAGAAGAGGTAACAGTGGAGGGAATGGATTTCCAAGGGACAGCCACTCTTCAGCCTCATCCACTTATGTGTGTGCTGTGGATTCCAGCCTCTGCCCGGACAGTGAAACCAAAGCCAAGAATTGATGCTTCCTGCCTGTAGGCTCGTAGTAATGCCTCTTTGTAGGGCCACAAATCATACATACGCAGTGGAGCTATTGGGGGCTGGGGAGCAGAGCATTTCGGTTTGTTTTTCAGATTTTTTTTCTCCTGCAGAAGTGAAAACACTGTATTTTCATTTTAATTTATGTTTGAGATTTATTTAGTTGATGAAGTAAGTGTTCATGTTGACCTGTAATGGTCAGTTGTATGTAATGTATTTATATGTGAATGTATTGTATATAGAAATGTGGAGTCCCCATGGACTCAGCCTCATTTGTAGATTAGTTAAGGATGGAAGGTGGAGTTCCTAGAAATACCTCGTTCCTGCATCGCCTCTGAGAAGAGAAGAGAAGCCTCTCTTGGGCGAGCAAATAAATGGCAGGGCAGCCACCTTCCAGCTCTTCTTTCCTTCTCTTGCCGGCTTGGAATGTGTGAAAGGCAGAGACGGGGCAGAGGTGGGGCCTGTAGCTTGGAGGAGAAACTACAGCAATTGCTGCTCTGTGTAGAGACTATCCAGCGCAATATTCCATGGGATGCTGATCTAAGGAAACCAAAGGATTCATTTCAAAGGGACTCAGACATTTGTACTCTCATTTCTTAAGGCAGTCAGTGCTCATGGTACTTTCTTCAAGTTCTGAGAAGATAAAGGAAGCCACCAAAAAAATGTCTTAAAAACTGTTACCTAATTGTCAACAACAGACCAAAATGAAGCAATTAAGCAACCAAACCAAGGCTCAGGGACAACTGTTTTTCTTAATGTATGTGTGCCCCTGGGTTTGTTTAATGAGTGTTTTGCAGGAAATGTTCATGTGCTTCCCTGGGCTGAGTTGGTATTGGTCTGCTGACCCGTTTTTATATTTTTATACACAGAATTTTTTCCAACTGTTGAAAGGGATGGGAATGGCATAAAAACTTCTCTACCCTGATCAATTCTGAACACCCAGGACCCAGTTCTCTTCACAAATGCACGCAACCACAGTCATTAAACCTATACACACATTGAGACTGTTGTAGCACATTAAACCTCAGCCTGCAGTGCTGACATCCCATATAGGTGCCAGTTGAAATCCTGGCTGCTCCACGTTCCTTCTAGCTCCCTGCTAATGCATCTGGGAAGGCAAGAGAAGATGGCCCAAGTGCTTGGCCCCTTACCACCCATGTTGGAGACTCAGATGATGCATCTGCCTCCTAGCTTCTGCTAGACTCAGCCCTGGCCTTGCGGCCATTTGGTAGCCAACCAACAGATGGAAGATCTTTCTATATCTGTGTCCTTCTGTCTCTGTAAACTCTGCCTTTCAAATAAATAAGTAAATCTTAAAATTAAAACAAAAACCTGGACACACATGACAGAAAAAATGAGCTTATAACACCATTAAGTAAAATACAAAGATGCAACAGAGATGGAAACTCAAGACTCAACTGCCCCCTCCCCCCCCAGTTTTTGCGCATTTTCCAAATGTGTACTATAAATGGGGCCTGATTGTTTTAGCAGAGCAAAGTGAAGAACTGCCCAGATCCCCCTGGGAAGCTCATGAAGAAGGGGTTGGGCCTTCTCGTTTGTTGCAGGCTCCCTTTGTCTGGGGTAGCTCTTCGGTCACTCCCATCTACACCAATTGATCCAGAATGTGAGCACCTCTCTGTAAGAAAGCCAAAAGCCACCTGCAGGTTTGTGGGTCACCAAAGGATGTCCATGAATTAGAGATGAATCTCATTGTAAAATTGAAAATTAGACATCTTCTATGAAATTATACTTTTTGTTTTTTAAGGCAGAGATGTGTGTGTAGCTATTGAAGATGTGCTGCTGGTTTGTAAAAAGGAGTGATGGAAATGCATTTTTTAAATGTTTGCACTCCCAGCGTTTGGCTGACAGCAGCGTGTTGGTGCTGCTTTGCTTGGTGTGAACCAATGGATCTCGATCTTTGGGGTGTGCTAAATCGTCGATCATCTCAAATCCTTGAGCACTCAGTCTAGTGTAGGTGTTGTCATGTACGATAAAGAACTAGTGGAATTAACTATGTGATGTTAACTATTAATAAATTTTAACATTTTTCAAAATAGTCCTGGTGTGATTCTTGAGCGCTTTAAGAGCGTGGTTATTTTGGGAACATGTTAGTGCTTCCTGGCTGGTCTGATGGATAATTTATTATAAGTATCTTGACTTTTACTGTGTTGTTGTCTTTTGGTATCTACAGGGGATTGGTTCCAGGAATTCCTATGGAAGACGAAATTTGTGGAAACTCAAGTTTTTAATAAAATGGTACAGTGTGTGCCTATGATGTACACAATTGTCTCATATACTTTAAATCATCTCTAGATTACCTGTAGAGTCCTGGCTGCTCCACTTCTGATTTAGCTCCCTGCCGACATGCCTGGGACCCAAATACCTGGGCACCTCCTACCCACACCAGAGACCCAGATGGAGTAGTTCCTGGCTCTTGGCTATTGCAGCCATTTGGGGAGTTAATCAGTAGACTAAAGCTTTGTCTCTTCCCCCTGTCTAACTTTCAAATAAGTAAATAAATCTTAAAAGAAAGATTCTAAGCACTTGCCTCTGTTCTCTCCCTACCAACTTTCCCCTCTTCTCAAGGCAAAGAATGATTTTGGAGAATATCTCTAAGCTCCCACTGACATTTCCAGGGTTGTGCTTCAGGACAACTGCGGAGGAAGCTGACCAGGGCCAAGGGGGTAATACAGAAAGCCATTGAGTGATTGAGAAATTAAGGTGAGATCCCACAAGTTTCTAAGTGTAAACTGGTGAAATGATGAGATTATTATCATACTATTGGTGGAAGCGTTAAGTTAGTACAGCCGGTTTGGAGAAACAAACAGCCAACTGCATCCAAAGCAGGCTTTGTGTATTTTTTTTCTAGAAAGTGGGGTTAAGAAAATACACATACTTTTATTCTATGGGAAGTCGAGGTTGGGACTGATTTGTGTGAGTTGTAATAGGTTAAAAAGAGGCTCTGTGTACTGGGCCTGCCCACCTTGTCTCTGATCCCAGTCAAACGATCTATTCCAGTAAACACTTTGAATGCAGTGCTGGAAGAGCTGAGGCAGCAGACAGCACAGGGAATTAGCCAGGCATTAGCAACAAGCCACTTGTCACTCACTAGCCGGATCAGAAACCTGGGGAGGGAGGAATAGGACTTGCAGCTCTATGGAGACAGATCTACCCTGCTTCTCTGCCCTATCCATGTATTCTCTAGCGTGTTTCCCGATGGCTGAACCTGGCAGGAAGTGAGTAACAGGAGCAGGTTGGGCGACCTGGGTTAGAGCAATTGGGAAAGTAACAGGAGGGGTGTCCTGTGAGACAGTTACGTGGAATTACAGTTATGTTGTGATCCAGACAGCTACATCATTAAAAATCAGCCAACAGGGCCCAGTGCAATAGTGTAGCGGTTAAAGTCCCTTGCCTTGAACGCTCCAGGATCCCATATGGATGCTAGTTCTAATCCCAGCAGCCCTGCTTCCCATCCAGCTCCCTGCTTGTGGCCTGGGAAAGCAGTCAAAGGATGGCCCAAAGCCTTGGGACCCTGCACCCATGTGGGAGACCTGAAAGAAGCTCCTGGTTCCTGGCTCCAGATCAACTCTGCTTCAGCCATTGCGGCTGCTTGGGGAGTGAATCATTGGATGGAAGATCTTCCTCTGTATATCTGCCTTTCCAATAAAAATAAATAAATCTTTTAAAAAAAATAAAAGAATCAGCCAATAGTATTCTGGAAGTATATTTGATAATACAGAAAATATTGACGGTATGTGGCTTCATGCTGAAAGTATGTTACAAAACAGACACATTTTGAGACCATTTTTGTGTGCAGGAGGTGTAACGAGTTTCCCCTAACACTTCCCTACCTCGCTGAGCTGTGGTACAGGCCAGAGGCTTCTTCCTCGGCAGCTGCCCTCAACTTGCCCAGCCCCCAGGGTTCCTGAACCTCCACCCAAGTTACCTGGGCTTTGCCAATCTCAAGCAGGTTGCTGCTCGGGGCTACTGGCAACAGCAACCTGCTGCTCTCCCACTCCCTACGGGGGCAGAGTGAGAGTGGTGTGGAGCGGTAGGGGTGAGTGTATGGGCTCCCGAGCTGACACAGACCCTTATTAATTCCCCTACAGACTGTCACTGGACAAAGTGGGCAGAAGCCTCCATCATGAGGCCCTCAAAACCCTGGATTTCTGTCCTTTCCTGTTCCTGCCTCTGCCCTGGGGCCGCTCAGCCCAGATTTTTCTGAAGCAGATGGATGGCTGCACTCAAGTGCCGTCCAGTTAGCCATGGCCTTTCTTCTGGCTTGCTTTCCTTGCGTTTGGCCCCTAGGTGTAGGAGGCTAAACCTTGCTTAGCCTTGCTCACTTCACTTTTCATGAACCCTCCCTGTTGCTTTTGTCCCCATTCCCATGTTTCATTCTCCGTTTACAGTTGGGCAATCCTGCTGTTTGGTGGACAGGTTTTTATTGTTTTGTCTCTTTAAGAAGCATGTCTGGTCTTGTGTGCATGCTTTTTAAAATGTATAGAATGCTGCTGACTAAAAGTCTCGGTTTCTTGCTCTGTGAGCACCAGCTTTTACAGACCATAGATGTTGCAGTGTGTCCGTTAAATTTGTCATTTCCAGTTGCTGCCTAATATCCCATTGCAAGAACGCGTGATAGCTCCCGTCCATTCTCTCTGTGGTGGACATGTGCATGGACTCAACTCTGGCTGCACAAGCATCACGGCAAAAAGTATGTTTGCACACGCCACCTTTATCATCTGTGATAATCTCTTTGGGCATACCCAGGAGCAGGAAAGCTGGATCACAGGGCGAGGTTTACTGCATTTGACCACCACAACGACCGGATTATCTTCCTGAAAGACTGCCCCAGCCCTCATTCCACCAGCAGCAAATCTCTGCTAGAAACGTGGCGTCATTCAGCTCTCCAGTCCTGGTCCATCTGCCGAGAGCCAAGTGAGACTTTGTGATTGCTCCACTTTGCATTCACTCTGATCACTGTGGACCTGAACATCCCCTTGTGTTCTTAGCTTTCTGGATTCTCCTTACTGGCCGTTTCATGATCGTATACATATTCATTACTGACTTTCAAACAGGGTTCTTTGCTTTTCCTTCCTGATTGGCTGGAGTTCCTGATTTAGTGTCAGTGTCAGTCTCGTGAGCTGTGGTTGCTGCACGATCTTTCCCTAACCTGTCATTTGGTGCACATAGTGGGGTACCTAGCAGCCTCCTCAGCCTCTAATAGATGACCCCTGTGGTAACATCTTCAGGTGCTGGATTTGCCCTGCAGGTAGGATTGACAGACAAAATGCAGGCACTCATTGTTTCATCCCAAATATTGCATGGGATATACTTATGCTAAGTAATTTCATTGCTTATCTGAAACGCAAATTTGAACAGAGTCTATATTTTTCTTTACTAACCTTGGTAACTATCTGAGGGGCGAAATTGCTCCTGGTTGAAAACCACAGGTGTAGAGAAACCTAAGAGACCTTGTTGGTTGGCCTTGAAAACGTCATCATTAGTTGTGGTTGGCTCTTTGTTCTGCTTTCTCCATGGAGGTGATCATATTGTCTGTAAATAATGGCAGCTTTCCCTCCAAATTGCTAAATGATGTCTTTGTCTCTCTTCTTACAATGTTGGATAAAATGTAGTCCTAAGGTAAATGGCAGTAACCCTTGCACGCTTGCAGAGGTGCTGATCTGCTTCACGAGGGGTCCATTTCATGACCTCAGCTCCCAAAGACCCTACTCCCTGGGCCAAGATGCTGGGCACTAGGAATTAATGAGTATGTTTTTGAGCCAGCACCCATATGGGATCCCGGCGTGTGCCACTGAGCCATCGTGCTGGGCCCAATTTGCTAGGTTTTATATTTCACCTTTTAAAATGTAGTAGTGTATAGTTTGCTGTGATATGTTTCGTAATCAACCCCTTGGTTATTCATTTCTAATTTTTGGTGTTCTGGTCTGACAGCATGATTTGTTTGATGCCAATTTTCTGGAACTGTTTATTGTAACCCTTTGCCTGGTATGTGGGTAATGCCCTACCCTCCTCCACCTGCTTGGAGACTGTTTTCTCTGGTGTTGGTGATAGTTGTAGACAGACACGAACAGAGGCGACGTGACTGAATTAGAATCTAGAGCATTAATCTGGGTTTCTTTAAAATATTTTTTATTGTATTTACCTATTTATTTATATGACGGGTCTCACACAGAGAAAAGACAGAAGGCTTCCATCTGCCAGTTCACTTCCCCTGATGTGTGTAGCTGGGTGGTTGGGAAGCCAGAAGCCCAGAGCTCAGCCCCGCTCTCCTGCACAGGGGCAGGGCCTAACTATCTCAGCGGTGATGGGCTGCCTCCCACATCCACCAGGGCATGTTAGCAGGCAGCTGTAATGGGAGTGCAAGCTGGACCTCAATCCCAGGTCCCCTGTCGTGGGAGGCCAGCAGCTTCAATCCTGGGGCTTGATGCTCACCCTATTTCTGAGTTTCTTGTTGGAGTTACAAGTGACTTGTTTTCTTGGAGAGCAGTAGTCTCATCTCTCGCCAACATTCTTGCAACACTGTCACTGATGTGTCCCTGGTCTGGGGCTCTCGCCCAGCCTTCTGGGACCTATCAACCTGCTGCATCAAAGGAGAAGATGTAAGCTCCCACCAGCCTGAGCAATGATGCTCTATCCCGTCTAAGCTCCATCGGCCGCTGGAGCACTCAATTCTGGAGCCACTGGTTGTGGTCCAGGCAATGTGGCATCTGTCCTCCTTGCTACCCCTCACCCGCCAGGGAAACCTCACAAACCCAGTCCCTTCTCAGTGCCCTACCCAGAGATGATAAGGTTTATTTTCCCCTGCTTCCATTTAGGGATAAATGCATTTGTTCTCCCGCGTGTGGTGTGTGTGTGTGTGTCCGGTTGCCAGCCCACTTCCAGGGTACACAGACAACATGCACCAAGCGCAGCTGCACGCAGACAGGGCTCACAGCCGCAGCAGCGCCTGGGTTTCGGCGCCACTGAGGGAGGGACAAGGGGGCATGGAGGAGGGGTGGCTCATTAAAAATGTTTTTCTGTGTGAGGAGCCACAGG